AGGTGCCTACCTGTCTAGTACCCACCACCGCGTCCATACTGGCTCCAGGAGACCGTTCATCGTTGATGGAGGGGACAGGGTGCACGGTCCTTGTGGCCGAGTTAGGATCAAAGAGTTGTTCCATGCACTTAGTGTGGAGTGGGCTACGGTCCAGCCACCGCCTTGCGTGCGCTTGATTCCCAAATACAGCGTGTTTGTGTTTGCCTGTGAAGGAGTGTAGGCCGGCTTTGTTGATGAAACCTGGCTCCCATCCATTTGCCTCCCGGTCTTATTCCTTCGGGTTTATACTGCATATGGGGTGTGTGGATAAAGCTGTGGGTGGTGCAACACAAGCCATCCATGGTCCCTCTGTAGGTGCAGGTTTCCTGTGGCTGGCCACAGTGACAAGCAAATCCGAAACCGGGTGCAGCCATCCATATATATATATATATATATATATATATATATATATATATATATATATATATACTGAATGCTGCGTCAAAGGATAGAGGTAAAACCACAAGAACAAATTCCTTTTCTCGGAATGAACGACTGGCGGGTACAATTAGCCTTCTCCACCCGTGGACAATACTTCGGCTTCCTTCTCCTGTTATCGTTTTTCTCTCCACTCGGGACTCTTCTTACCGTCCATTAGGCAAGAAATTGCTTCTGACTCTAAAATTGACGTTATCAGGATATGAAATTCGTCCGTCAAACCAAGGGTCTCATTTCACGTAGTTCAATCAGTATGCGCTCTCTGGATTAGATCAGCCAACAGGCAGCACCAACTCTCTCTCTCTCTCTCTACTATCTTTGAATTGATTTATGCTGTCTGCGAAACACGTGCACAGCGGCGTCGAGACTAATCGCCGCATCCATGGTACCGAATCTGCGGACCATAACTGTGCTCTTCGCATCTCTGGCTTTTCCGTGTCAATGAGTAAAGGTAGTTTGAAACTAATCTACTCGATCGAATGCCAGTGGACAGATGTATGTGCGCGGTTCCTCTTCGAACCCCCAGCGAGGTTAGTAAGTAACATCTGAAAGCATGGTACTACTTCGGTTGTTTCATTTATACTCCTAAGGACCGCATTTTGGAGGGCATCAAGATCACTCCTAGCCTAGAATCTCATCCATCCTCCGCAATGCAAAATATACTGATCTTGGAGCTGTTGCTGGTGATATGAATGCCCAAGTCAGTTGCCTTCCAGTATCCGAACAACACGTGGGAGACTGTTTCGAGGCTGGTGCACACGGAACATCGGTAATCGATTCCTTCAACTAAGTGTCAATTACAATTTTCATAATAGTAGCACTGCTTTCCAACGCAAACGTTCACATCGCGTCAGCTGTTGTGCACCGAATTCTTCGGTGCCCTGGATCCAAATTGACCATATTGCCATCAACTATAGCTGAGACATACCAGTCGAAGGCTGGCAACCAATTTGAAGCACATGCGTGGTTTCCAACCATGTCCTAGCACACACGTTCCTGACAGCCACTCTTCCCGTTTCGAAGACGCATCTGGCTTCTAAACTCCTCTCTGGTAACGTGAACTCCCAGTTCGCTACGAAGTAGCCCCCAGGTTGTCATTGCCCATTGTCGTTGGTGAGCCGAACGATACGTTGTATCAACTCGTGTGCCATAAAGTATGCTCCCGGCGCCCATTGTATGCTCAATTGACTAATTACTACACTTAATGGATCGCTGCCGTATCGATCGGTTTGATCGAATCACACAAACGCGTTCCGTCTGACAATGGGTATTATTATGTCCGTAACAATCTGAAATGATAGCTGGCAAGAAGTTTTCGAATTAACTAGGGAAGTTGGTGAGCGGCGTGCCAGTGCTACTGAGTCCAGCGGTGTACTGTTCTAACCGAACCGGAACAAAAGGTTGGGGAAAACCCTAACTAGGTGGGACGACGGCTAAGAAAGATGGCCAGTTGTTTCAATCTAAGTTGTGTCGAATAACCCGTCAGGCGGAACATTTTAAGAGTAGCTCAGCAGACCTGCTGCGACACTACCGCTTGCTGAATAACTTGAGCCGACATGGGAATTTGATATCACACCTCCTACATTGGAAAATTCTAGACGAGATAGACATGTTGAAAGGAAACATGACTCCTGAACCCGATGACCTTCCTTCATGTTTGCTGAAAGATGGAGCTGAGTCCACTACCCACTGCACGAGCAGTAACCTGCATAACAGTGGAGGGTGGGTCGAGTTATATCGTAGTTAGATTTCAATTCTTGATGCTCAGCTATATTCCCCCCACGGCTCAGTGGCATAAGCTGCCGGCTAATGATGCGAACCGCTAACATTCATGAGTTCGGTTCCGTGCATGGAATCGTGGGGATACGCACACTGATGAACAATGAACAATGAACAATGATTTATCACGGGCTAAAAGCAAGTACATGACACGTCCCGTAGGATGGTAGCGGTGAATATGATGCAATTAAAATATGTCTGGGTCACCTATCGAACGTCTGCCGAGATGAATACTTTGATAATTAACATCAGTGTGAAATGAAAAAGAAATATCACGCGTAAACATTCAGAAAGACACTGGGGCGCAGTGATAGTTGAGGTAAGGAGTGAGAAAATAAAATATGGTCGCTCACTTAGGTCCATTTGATACATTAGTCCTGTTGAAAACATGCTTGGCGTAATCCACAACAGAGGAGCTTAGGTAACAAAATGTTGAGAGCTGAGAGCAACATCTAATCGTTTTTTGAAAACATCCAAGGTAGGAGAGGATACAACTGAGTCTGGGAGTGCGTTCCAGGGTTGGCAAACCCGAAGGGAAATGTAATTCCGTCGACACTCTGGACGGCTATATCGTTCCTTCAGCTTTAAGCAATTATCTCTGAGCTGCGTGTTGTGGCTAAGTTTCAGCAAATGGCGGCATACGTGGTTGGGGTCACTCAATATCTGATACGCTAATATGAGATCGCCGCGCAGCCTTTGATAACGTCCGCTGAAAATTCCCAGCAACTTCAGCCTTCGGTGGTAAGAGTGATACCGCAGGCCCTTCACGTTCTTTGTTGCTCTTCGTTGTGGTGCCTCTATCGCTTCTAGGTCGCGTTTCAACCAAGGTTGCCAAACTTGGATTGCGTACTCAACATGCGGGAGCACGTAGGAATTGAGCATCATTGGGAAGATTGATGGGTCAAATCTCCCGAATGCCCTTCGCAGCATGCCGACGTGCTGGTTGCCTCTTTTCGCAGCTACCTCAGCCTGTTTTGAACAGTTGAGGTCGCTCTGTACGATCACACCAAGATCACGTTCCTGGGAGCAATTCTGCAATTCGTTTGTCCCAAGTATGTAGGTGTAGTTATGTCTATGGCGTAATTGTGTATTCTAATTGATGTATTTTAAGGGCGCGAAACAGAGGTCCGTTATCTTTCTGGATTTGTAGTTGTCCTATCTAGCTTGTAACCTAATACGGTAACTTAAATAAAACTACAAATATCCGTACTTCTGTTACGGATGATCCATATCGAGGTGGAATACAGTCCGCTGTTGTATTTCCGAGAAGATTCAGCGCACTCAGCAGCTTACAATTGGCCATCATCGCATGAAGTGGCATGAAAGTGCCGGCGTGTATCGTTTCCTGATGTATAATAAATACAACAATTAAACAATATCTGTTGCTCCGCAAAGTGTGCGTCGTGTGGGTTCCGAACCAGCTTTCCGCTGTTAATCAGCACAGGCGAATTTGACTCCCCAAGGAACTGATGGATCCTCATGGCATGGATGGTCAGTACATTGTGTGTTGCATGTTGGAGTACCCGCCGCCACTCAACCTCAATTTTGACCTCAGCTGACTTTGTAGTCAACCTCTGTCATTCTAATCACTGGGATCATCACCGGTGGAGTTGCGATATGTCCCTCTCCCATCCCTGCTCTCAGGACAGATGGTTTCGTCCTGGTTTGGACTCATGGGGTAGAGATAGTCCAACTGGGAGCGGAACTTGGCGCATAGTTTTGGTGGCTGTTGCCATGATCAATAGGTCATTGAGCTCCGCGAGCAGTGCTTGACATAAAGGTTAGAAGTTGATTTTCAGCATATGCAGCATCCGCTGGATTGCTTGAATTGCGACACAAATCCCAACTGTGCCCTCAATTGAATTTGAAGTCGGCCTCTGCTAATAGGATCACTAGGACCGTCACCGAAGTAGAGGATTTCGCTGTGGTTCTCTTCCATAAGTGCATTCAACAACGCGTTTCGTTCTTGATAGGACTCATCAGGTATAGATAGCCAGATATGGAAGTGGAAGTCGACACATGATGGCTGGTGGTTATCACCATGATCACTGGACCATTGAGATTCTCTGGCACAGCTTGACACAGCGGTTAGAAGTTGAATATTGGGTTTTGGGGGTACAAGCCGTGTCTTGAAATGCACCATGTAATCTCAATTATGGCCTTGGTTGACTTCCACTCTCAGATCAGGCTATCTATGCCTGATGAGTTCAAACAAGGAGGAAACGCGTCGTTGGGTGCAGCGACAGGATAGAACTCTGTCGAAACTCTCCATTTGAATACTTTGTGGTCGGTTATCACAGTCCACTGTCTGTCCAGTCATGCACGTGACCCATGTGCAAATAAAAGTGTTGGAAATCAGATGATGTATAACTTTGATTCTGCACACACAACACCTGTATCCTTTCAAATGTCGTGATCCTTCTTACAATACGGTATTACCCAGATCGTGTAATCAACTCATTCCTCATAGCCCTGACTTTGCGCCAAGTGGTATTCATCAGTTTGCAACCCTAAAAGAAGTTCACGGAGGTCAGCATTTCCGCAGTTCTGATGAAGTGAGCTACTCTGTCCCAAACTGTTTCTAAACTGCTAACAAATATTTCTGCGCTGAAGTATTTATGCAACGGTGTGATGTCCTTACACTTATGGTTGGGGAACGTACTACAAACAATATATAACTGATATTTCCTGTAATGTGTGCATTCTTCAAATTTGCTTCAACGTGGTAGAAATGTTCAACTCACTTTAAAGCGATGACTTGCAGTACAATTTCCGCACTTTCCGCTCGATTGATTTCAAATCGATATGGCGTGATCGACCATTGGGTTTCGAGTTCTGACTCAAGCTGACAGAATAGGAAACAACACAAACAGAAGTAAAAAATTCAGACGGAAATGATAGCAACGCCTGTGGCACACCATTCTCGAGATTAACGTAGACAACCAGGTTAATAATGGTGAAGGGTTTTACCGGAACACTTTATTGCGCAATCCTCGCTATTTGGACGCCACCGATCATTGATTCAGTGCCGTCTGATCTAAAAATCTAAGTCCCTTATACCTTTGCGTTATTGATATTTTGTAAGTGAAAGTAAGAAGCAATTGTAGAGGGTTTCATGACTTCTATGTGTGCCTGCCGGAGGCAGAAACGATGATATCATGATCCGGAATACAATTTCAACCCGGCCATCTGCCGACCCGTTTGTATCCCATATCTATGGCGAAGTGCTCTTGCCTATCTGTAAATTTCATAAATCTAGCCAACGAAACTGACGAGTTGACATGAGATTATCAGAAAAGAGTACCGTGCATACCTACCAAATTCTCAGTTATTAAACCAAACAAAAAACCAACCAATCAAGTACTCCTTCAACTAGGTTAGCTTATCGCTCAGGCGTTAACTTCGAATCTTAGCAAAATGCTGATAATTCACTTGGAACGGCTCTGTATCAGCCTTTTACAATCAGCATTTGCCATACATGGTTTGTCAGCTATAGACAATTTGTCCCTGGGGGGTTGCGTTCTACTGAACTCTAGCATAAGTGAGAGGAAAACGAACCACGCGATATGTCGGCATTTAGCCATATCGGCTAGCATCGTCACACGTGGTGTCGTTTGAGGTTTGGACAAAACTAGTTAACGTTCGTGATGAGCAACTGAGGCCATTTTAAAAGATGTTCTCTATATTCTTTTGCCATCCCCTATTCGGTTAATTGGTAACCGATGTTAGCGATGCGCCACATGCTGCTACTGAGGCTTCGCTACCACGTAACTACATTTGACTGTATGAAAGCTAGGATACCATAAGGTTCTCGGGCCTACACATGTTCAAACTGACAACCCACGGGGTACCAAAGATATACACTAGTTCAAAATCAATAGTTTAAACACGTTAGATAACGACCTTCCCAAGTGAAGTGTTAATCTAATCAGAAATACCTTCTATTAACTTTTCGAAGGATAGTGTATCACGCATTGCCGAATCGCCCGAAAGTTCTGAAGGATCATGTTGGACCTGCCGTCTATTTTTAAGCAATGCACATCGCTCACATCTGAGCTAGTGTTTGCAGATGGTACTCTACATGCTTGCGTATGCTTCAGCCAAACATACGAATTAATCCATCAGTTGAGAATAAAGAAACTAACCAGAGCTTTGTTGTCAAGACGGACAGTTCTTCGTAGGTATATGAATTACCTACCCAATGAGGATGTAGTAAATGAGGGTTAAACACCCTACATCAAGATCTAGTGTTTTGTTTTTGTTGTTCTCGTTGTTGTCTAACTGCACGCAGTTCTACGAAGATTTGAGGATGCCACAATTTCGTCATTGTTTTGGCCGCACAATACAGATAATAAACTGCGAGACCACTTGGTGAAATCAAATGCTATTGATCAACCAGCGGCATTTTCAATTTGGTGCGTCTGGAAAATTCACCCCTGGACCACTGTTTGGAAAAAGAACGGATGGTGCGTGAGTAGTCAGTTGTTTGGTTCGTCCACGTCGATTCTTCCAAAACGATCGGCAGTCACACAACGTTCGTCGTGACAGCGTGGGACTGCAGGATAGACCATATTAGGGAGCAGAGACTGTACTTCCTATGAAGTGTATGAGTCGTAATTCTTTTTCCTCTACCCTTTAAGGTCAACTTATGAACTCCTCGGACTAAGATTATAGTAACTCTCGATGTGATTCCGCTTGAATCGCGTGGCGGAGCTGTACGCTATCGGGCGTGTCCCCAGGTTGCAGATCGGGGGAATGCCTTCCTGGTGGAGGTAACTGCGAATAAGTGTCGTTTGCCTTGCAGGCGAGATGAATAAGTCGCGGACAATCAGGGGCAGCGTCTCAGAACGTGGGAAGTTCTGGGCTGTCCGCCAGGTTCTTCATCAAATACCACAAGAGCTCGTACAGCACTGTATCAAAGCCAAGGTGACCGGCTATAGGGTCACTGACCACTCACTTCTGTAACCAGAAGTGAGCACCTAACGGAGGGCGGATGAGCAAGCTTGTTGGCCACCGGCTGCTTTGTGGACTGCTACTGAACACAAAGAAGGTGAATGAGCTACCTGAATGGCAACGGTCTCCGTTAATCGTCCTGCTGCCTTGTGGGTCAGGTCTTTATGACCAAAGGCTCGGGGTGGGGTCCCTTAAATCAAGGCTCTTCCTCGGCCTGGGCAACCGGGAAGATCACTGCCCGCACAATACTTTAACTTTGTAAACCTTCCAAACGTTTCTATTGTCTACTTGCTTTTCCCTTTTTGTTGTTGTTGTTGGGGTTGCTGTTGTTGTTGTTGTTGTTGTTGTTGTTGTTGTTAACTATGTGTTGTGGCACTGCCAATTGTATATTGGTCAGGTGTTGAACACACACTTAGGGAAGCACATTACTAACGTAGCAACAGCGCCAGCCGCCGGCCATAGGGATTTTTGCTTCCCAAAGTATGGTTTCAAAAAGAACATGTTTTAGGCACCGATCAATTACAGAGTCGAAGGAACGCGCGCTGATATCAGCTGACGAAAACACGAATAGGCCATCCTGATTTTGCAGAAATGCAGAATTTCTGACCCAGTGTAACTGCATTGGGTTTTCCTTTTCACTGCTTTTTTTATAGACCCTGTGTTCTTAATTCTTGTCTGCGTTACTGAGCATCATGATATAACTAATAGTGGTCAGTCCTACGGCACGAAGGCCAGACTTGATTTATATAATTGATATACCTCGAACGTGTCGTACACTTTTACGGCAATTGCAGGAAGTAAATTACCGGCCAATTCGGAACGAACGGGTACGGAAGACAAATGAGAACCAATGATCCTCATTCTTTTAAACGCACTCCACTATGCAGTTTCAAAAAGTACTCTCATTACCTTATAGTGGTCGATTTTAACGTAGCTTCAGTTGTCGCAGTGTCTGCTAAGGAGCCATCATCTAAACCAACGCTCCTTGAATTTATGAAGATGGCAATTTTGTATAAACAAATGCATCGACCAACTAGACATCGCACTTCATACAAGCCATGGTTACTGGACCTAATCCTGACAAAGGAAGAGTTGATGCTTGAGTCAGTGGCACACGACCCTGCACTAGGCAGTAACGAGTATACAGTTCATACAGTGTGTTATGCCAGTGTGGTTGATAAGGAAAGCGAAACCCAACGAAGTATTACTGACTATTCCAAGCTTCATAAACTAACGACTACCGTTGACTAGAGCCGACATATTCATAGGTTGGTGAACGACGCAAGGAAGGAATTAAGAGGTAAAGTTAACTTGGTCAAATAAGCAGCTTCGAAAGTTATACCATTACCGGTATCGTTGAGAATCAACAGTTGGATTCGAAACAGAACACTTAAATGGATCAATAGAGGAGATGAAAGTTGAAAGCAACATCCGCTAACTTCATGTGATGCCTCATGGCAGAATTATAAATCAGAAACTACTACTATTCACTTATTATGACAAACAAGTACGAGTGGCAGAAGACAATGGTACTCAATATTACGAGTAACAACAACCTGTTATACAGGTATCTGTAGGATAAAAGAAGGGTTAAATCTGGAAAACCATCACTCACGATGGCCTGTGGCTTAACGAATACTCCTTTGGATAGCGCGAGCGCTCCACATTTACAGTTTGACACGGTGGCTACAAATACCATGAAACCTTTGCTCTAGCAACTCCCAACAGACGCCGTCGGCTTATCCAGTGTCACCTTTACACCGGAGGCTGTCATGAACAACTTCCAATCTCTCCGGGAAAACAGTGCATTGGGAACCGACAATATCTGTGCAAATGTACGTAAAATTCTATCCCCCACCATAGAAGTACATCTGCAGCGCTTTTCCAGGGTCTGTTTGGCTCCCATACACTCCCATCTAAGCGGAAACGTGGAGTCATCACTCCGATATACAAAGTAGGTAAGAGATCGGATCCTGCCAACTACCGACCTATTACTCTTCTACCTGTTTTATCAAGTGATGGAATCGGTAATCACAGATGAATTGACTCGATATGTTGAAAATCTGGGAAGAATTTCAAATGTTTAACATGGTTTCAGGCGCAGAGTTTCTGGTCTTACAAATCTGCTCCTTGGACCAGAGCAGCGGACAAAGGAGTCCACATAGATGTGATTTACTTAGCTTTATTTAAGGCATTCTACAGAGTCAATCAATTTGTTCTCCTTCAAGAGCTTGCTGTCTATGGTATCAACAGTTCCCTGCTCACCTGGTTGGAAGATTACCTTCAAAACAGAACCATCAAGGTAAGAATAGTTTACACTCACTCCGACATCCTGTGCATATCCAGTGGTGTACCGCAAGGATCCGTCCTCGGCCCGCTACTGTTTTTAGTTTACATAAATGACCTACCGGAAAACATTTTATCCCCAATGCAGATATTTGCAGCGGATGCCAAAATATGAGAGCAATTGGTTCAGCATCCGACCGTGCTTATCTCCAGAACGATTTGGACCGGATTAACGAGTGGGCCGAAAGGAATCAGCTCCCACTGAACCGTGCAAATTGCCACCTGTCTACGGTGCGTAGCATCTTCAGCAACACATATCTTCTGTGACAGCACGTTTTGCAACAGGTGACTAGTGAACGAGACTTAAGTATCATCGTGCAAGAAAGTCTTGGCAATTCGCTCCAGTGCTGGAACGAAGCGAATGTGGCGAATTCGAACTTGAGGGTTTTGAAGCACCTTCGAGCGACGACTGGTACCAATACTGATCAACACATATCTTCGTTTCCATGTTGAATATGCGGTCTAGGCCTGGCGCCCATGGTTAAAACGAGATATTCGTCTCTTGGAGCAATCCCAAAGAAGAGCCACCAAGGCAATACTTGGACTATCCGGCCTCAGTTACGAACTGCAACTTCGTTTACTCGGTGTGTTCTCCTCAGAATGCCGACGGCTTCACGGGGATCTTGTCCTCACATCCCGGATACTATATGAAAACAAGCACCCATATACATCACTGCTGACCCTAGCCTCTTACAAGCAATTTCGAGGCTATCAACTGAAACTAGTAATACAACACTCTCGTTTGGATCGTAGGAGGTATTTTTACTCTCTTACAATCTATTCCCCATGCAATGCACTATAAACACATGTGATGAACGCCCCAGACATCGTGATATTCGAGAGACTGCTAGACTTTCATCTTTGTGCTACCCGTTACACAGCAGTTTGATAAAGTGTAATGGCCTAACCACTGATATTTCACATTTAACGTTTGAATATTTTGATTTGAATTTTCTTGTGCCTTTTCATCCTGTGTCTTGCAAATTTATGTTTTTTATCCCATCATACACTACTGATCTATTGAACTACTAAGGTCCGCTTACCCTTGATTCAGAATGAGGCACCACGCGAACCGTCTGTCCCTCCACAGACCAGATAAGCTGCTGCGAACGACGTCCCATGTTACGCAACCGGAAGACTTGTTGCATGGGTGCCGTGGTAAAGTGCGTGCCCAAGTCCAGAGTGTCTGTCATTGGTGGTTCAGACACGATGGTATTACCGTGACCAGTTGCATTCAGCGTAATGTTCCGAGTGGTCGCGGCGTCCTGCACAATCAGCTCCATGTGATCCTTGAACACGATGACATCATCCGGTCGGGCGCAGATGGCCAAATCAAAGTGGCTCAGGGGCGGCACCGTACCTTCAGCTGGCTGTGCCCAAAAGATGCTATCTTTAGTGAGCTGAAAATGAACACCGAAATTTATAGTCCGATTAGGAACAGGTAGTAACAAATACTGAACTGCAGTTAATAAATGCAGGCGGAACCCATTGATCCCGTATTCAACCACGCTGTCAAGTTCGAAACCTGTAAAGACAACTGGTAGCCATGTTAATCCCCGGGAATTCGAAGACAAAACACTGTACCTACAGCGCAGGCCAAAAGGCTGAAATAATGACCTGTTGCAGCCGTCTATATCAGTCATCTGAAAGAGAACAATACAGTTGTGACCAGTGGTCAGGGACCTTTCGTTTCGGAAGTTCCGTCACACAAATTTTGTCTCATTCGATCGTTGAAATAAGGTCATTGAGGAGAAAGAGGTCGGTTTGCCCTAAAGCGTGCAGTTAGATCTTCCAAATTCTATGCGATTCTGGTTAAAGACAATACTGTTACCTAAAAACTCCCAGTCCCAGATAAAATCAAAGTAAATGTACCTAAAGAACATGTTCAGGGTAACATTTAAAAAAGAATCGTGGACAGTAGAATTGAATATGGAAGCCAACAATATCTGCAATGCAATCCGCGGCGAATATTTGACTGGATCGATAGACAGAATTAGTGGGACGGAACCATTTCAACAAATAGGAAAGAAAATGGGGGAATGAAGTGTCGTCTTTGCTTTATTGGATAATTAATTCGTCAATGCTTATTCGTTTAGATAGCTTTTCCAGAACTAACAGTATTTCCCTGGCATTATGTTTTCTCCAGGAGTGTCATCGAAGCACACCTGGGCCGTAATCTCTACTCCCTACCCAGTTCCACTGCACATGGGGCTCACATTCCGTTCGAATGAGTCGTTCCTCAATACTCTTGAGGAGACTTACATAAAGGCACACGGTATCGGTCATGGCCGTGTATGCTGCTTGATGTGGTCCTATTGCCAAGTGGTCATAGGATTTGTTCCTCATCTGCATAGATACTTCTCCTTGTTGCGCATAAAAACTACTTTGCCCTGACAGAATCAGTTGCGGTAGTCATTGCATAAGTGACCGGAATGTGGTCCACAGCTAATACACTGACAGCTTATCGCCGTTAGTGGCTTATACGGCTCAAGTGAGTCCTGGTTTGAATAGTACGCAGACGGGACACACTGAAGTTTGCAAGAAATGAATAATCCTATCAGGACTTAAATACATATGTAAACATATATTAATGAATTAATGCCTTCAGTGTGAATGACGGTGCGGAACTTGACCAATTTATACCCATTCGTGGCTTCCATGCTGAACGGCGTGCCATCACCTGGCACTTAGTGAGCACTCTGAATGAGCTCATATATTAAGGCTTTGCTTGAGAGAAATACCGCCGATCTGATGACGCGGACAACACGGTTCGCTGCTCAAAATGGCAAGGGGGCGTGATTAAAGATCACCAAACGCTCTCTAGAGCGGTGTCACTTTTCGTCGTTCCTTTTGCACGCTCATAATGCTGAAAGGGTGTATTCACGAACACAAATGTCATGTACACCGACTAAAATTGTGGGTTTTTGGACGATGTAGGAGCTTCAGATAGCACACCGTCACTGTGTCAAACGCTCATATCGTTATGGGGAGCAACTTCTGTCTATTAGGCTTATTTATACACGCAAACACACAACCCCAGAACGCCCATTCAAGTTGATTTTTGTCGCGTCACGTGTACCAATCAATAGCTAGGGAAACGTAGTTCTGTGCACGCGCCAAACGCCGATAGAACGGTTTTGATCATCGTGGAGGGGATAACAATGTCTGGCCAACACAAAAGAACTACTAGTTTGTTCAAATAGCACATATTTGGATAATTAATTACGAGTTCGTCGCAGCCAGTTCCAAGTCAGATAGTCGTACACATGCTCGGAAATGCACTAGATTGCAGATTCAACCTGTTGGGTATCATCAGTAGAGCACATCCCTTGATCTATCTTTTCTCATTCTAACCACCCCACGGGAGTTGTCAAGCACCTGCTTTTTACCCGTTATAAATCATTGTACATTATTAATGACCATCAGCGGCTAGAACCGCCGGTCAGCATCTTACGCTACTGGGCCACGGGGGACAGTTTCGGACCGTCAATACTTACAAGCAAAATACGATATGATGCTGTAAGAAGACGAAAGCTGGAAGATGCACGCATTTCGTTTAGTCTCGTCAATACCATTAACAATAACTGGGATGCAACTATATAAAGAACTATGGGCGTGACCTAAAGAGCTTGAGGTGAAAAATGAATGAAAGAAGTCCGACCACTATGTGCATGACAGTTTTAGCTCACAAATAATTACTCATGTGTATTAGTGAGCATTTTGGTATAATTCAGCTAATTCATCATCGTCATTACCAAACAGAAGGCCTAGGCTAGTCTGGAAAAGCACCAGACACGGGAGTTACGAACACATGGGTCTCAAGAGTGGCGCCCCCAGCAAACACCTTCCGGGTTCCGCCCACTTGAATTCAGGATGCCAGCAGATAGTGCCGTTTGCCATAAGTGACAGCCGCGCAGCTGAGTGATTCAAGTCTGACTAATGATATAGCACGGCTCAACTACCATTGCCATGCGACTTACGAAACGTGCAGAGGAAAGTTGCTAGGGATATCCACATAGCGAATATTTTTATAAAACACACAGGGCTCGCTTCATCCGGCTTTTGCCACGGCCTCGGCAAAACGGATGAAGAAAAGTATAGGGTGAGTTAAACGATTGTGAACGCTGATCCGAGCTGTGTCCGGTGACGATCGACCGGTAGGTGTCGACCTACTGATGAAGCTGGCGGCCTGCGCGAACGCGAAGATTCAGGGGGCAAGGATGCTGGTCAATTTCACGTTGAACCCACATTGGCGCGTGTTCCTTTATTCGGGAGAAAAGACCGATTAGTGCTACCTATGGAACTGGCTCTGCAGTCACACACGAACTGGTATATGCAGTGTAAATTGGCTTCAATCGGCTTAACTTCCTTCGTCAGATGAACAGAAAAATTACGAGTTCGGTTAATGACCAGAACCTAAGCACCAGGGTAACTCCTCTGCGTAGCAGGAATTAGACGTTTAATGGTCTTCAGTGTATGGAAATAACACTTGAAAGGCAACTCAACATACATCCTTTTCTTAGTTGCTGCATGCCCTAAGTCCTTTGGGTCCCGCTGTTGACTCAGTTTCCCTACGAATCTACGAGGATAACCATTCACACTGAGCGCAGTTGTAACGCTAGCCCATCGGCCAGACAATCCGCCGAGCAAATTCGTCTAACGCGACTAACTAAAGTTTTCACAAGTGTCCGTTTGTACCTCACTGTTGTGAAGCTGGTGGAATACTGTTATCGACCGGACCATGCAGCTTTTCTGTTGATGGACCTCTTAATTAATCCCTCATTTCTGCCACTGATAAGGATGTCCAAGAAAGGTAGACAGTTCTTCTGCCCCACCTCACAAGTGACCAGCAAATTAGCAGGTACGTTGTTAAACTGTTCCACCAACCGCACGATCTGTTGTTCCGATGAACGTAAGCCCAGTATGTCATCCACATAGCGTTTATAGTATGGCAGCTTGGCTATTTCTATGGATATGCCTCTTTCTATCAACAACATGAAGGAATCGGTGAGTGCAGGGTATAATGGGCTACCCATTAGCACCCCATCGATTTGACGGTATGATGTATTCTGAAAGTGGAAGCCAACATTTTCGGTACATAACAGCAATGATTCGATTAGAAGTTCGGCTGGAATTGATAAAGAACAAGTATATTGCTCAGCTAGTTCGCAGCTATATTCGACTGTCTGGTGCAGCGGAACGTTAGTGAACAGAGATTCCACATCCAGTGAACACATAATCTTATCTGACAGGTTGATGTTGTCCAAGTCATCGAAAGTTAAAAGAAATCCTTAAGACAATAGGGATTGGCCAGTTGTCGCAGCGATGAAATGCTCTGCGCTAGCCAGAGAGCTCATTGTGCTGCGGCGCATTTATCATTAATGGAATCGGTCTAAGTGGTACTCCGTACTTTGCATTTTCGGTGACCCGTCCAAATGTGGAGTAGTGCCGCTACTTGGCTTCAAACACTTATAAACGTCCGTATCGATCACACGATAAGGAAGAAGCATTTCAAGTTGTGTAGCTCTGCGAAATTCAACTTCGGCTGTGTTCCGACACATCGCAAGTCCTAGAAAATGGTTTGTGGCGTTAAGTATGACAATCATTTTCGGAGCGTACTTGGCCTTGTTCATGACAACCACTCCACAGCCCTTCTCCCGTTGCATCACAATTACGTACTCAGTACGTAATTTGCGTAGCGGCCGAAGGTGACGACTTGTAAGCGTGCATGTATCACTCACTAACATGGTATTAACTTCGTGGGAGATTTCGGTTAGTTTGTTTCTTAACCATACAACCGTTTCAGGACTGCATATTTGAACCTCTTGGAATTGATTTAAAGATTCTCAAAGTGGGCTTGTATAAACAACCCGTACGTCTTTCGCGGTGCTACTTTGTAATCAAGGCCGTCGGACAATACCTCTATCTGTAACACATCAAGTTATAGGTCTGCTAAATTCAGCACGTACTTACAACAATCACGAACGATTGTCTCCTCCCCTTGCCTGTTCGTTATTGCGTTCTGCAACCGGATGTTGTGATTTATCCTCGTACGGTCGAGTGTGAACTTACAAGGTTAGTAAAAACAATCCAGCAACACAAAGATCCTCGACCAATGATAGTAAGCGTGTATGAGTTTCCAGTAAACTCAAAAGTTTTGACTCGACCTACTCCAGGTGAACGGATGCCACGCGTCTGAGGTTAGTCACAGATGGCTTGAGTTAATTTATACGCCACAATGTGAGGACGGAAGGAGGGTGTGTACGCAAGATAATACATTTTCCACGTGAGCGTACTATTCACGAACTTTCGATTTTACCTTTCTAATGAACTGTGTGGTTGGCTAATACAGCCCCGTTCCTCAATTCATTCAATCCGGTCTTCTCTGTCCTTTGCGTCC